ATACAGACGCTTCTATGTTCGGGCTGGGGGCTGTTCTCAGCCAAGTAGGAGACGATGGAAAAGAACACCCGATTGCCTACATCAGCCGAAAACTCCTGCCACGCGTGGTCAGCTTTGCTGTAGTGGAAAAGGAGTGTTTGGCCCTGGTGTGGGCACTAAATAAATTAACCCCCTACTTGTACCGACAAGAGTTCACTCTGGTTACAGACCATAACCCGTTGGTATGGCTTAACCGGGTCGCTGGGGACAATGGCAGACTTTTACGCTGGAGCTTATCTTTACAACCGTTTAACTTTACTATCACCTACAGATCCGGGAAGCAGAATGGCAATGCCGACGGGTTATCACGGCAAACAGACCTCAGTCCAGCATAATTCCTTGGTCTGGACAGCCTTAGTCTGCCCTGAAAATGGGTCAGACGGTGTCTGCCAGAGTGTTCCACAAGGAGGGAGCACTGTTACAAGGACTCTATATACCGTTACAGCATAACCTTCTTTCGATTAAAACCCCTATTATGTCAGCATTCAGACCATACGAACGCATTGCACGAACTATTATAAAGGTCTATTCGTCTGTACGAACGATGGACCACCCAGTCCTTGGCGTGTGCCGCCACTTAACCCCGTCACCTCTACAAATACCGAATGGCCGACCACCCTACGAGCGGAGTGTGTCGCTCATTAACCGCATAAGGCGCTGCGGTCTGCGGTTAACCACCAACTAATGGACGGTCCCAGGGGACCCACGTTTGTATGTAATTCCCCGAAGGGAAACTGCCGAAAGCCTCACGAACAAGGACCACCTGCATTCTGGCGTGTGGCAGCAATTAGAACGCGGCTCTTGCGGTTAACCGCAGGTTAAGTACCCCCTTCCGGACGGTCACCCTTCGTCTCCCGAATGGCCAGGACAGACTGAAAGCGGGGATTCGTGCACTTCTGTAGCCGACCCCTGTTCCATGAGTATTAGGTCGAGGTCCCGTTGTCCATTGACCAACCTCAAAACATGGCCGCCATCAGGGGTGATACACCAAAGTGCCGAATAATAGTGCAATTCGTATATCTGAGCTGCCGAATGAATAGTGGAATGAACCATATTCCCCCTGAAATGTCAAAGTTATGTATTTTCATGCTGTTTTCTAGGACACAATAAAGCATGGTCTTTTGGGGCGCTTGGAGATAATTAGATTGTATGAACCGTTGGCCTCATTATCTCCAAGCTGGGCGGGTACTAGTTTAAATGATACATTGTATTATGATTGGTTGAATCCTTGTACTGTACCTGTATCCCATCAGGTCCATGGGGGGCTGTCCCTGGACCTGGGGACTTGCATAAATTGCCATGCTTGTGTGCCAGTAAAGCTAGTTTGTTTTGACCCTCAACTCGCAGCCTCGACTCGTGTTGTAGGGATCTGGGAATCCTAGCGTTACTATAGCTAGTGGGATATTCTACACTTACAGGTTTCTACCGATTGAAGCACCGTTCGACTCTCTGACTTTGGGAACCAAGACATCCAAGCGATCCAACCTCCTGCTAGCCCGGAGGCAATCGTAACAGTAGTTTTTCCTTAAATTGGGCTCACCTGGTAATCTAATTATCACAGGTGTCCGAGATTGTTTTCAGTGATCAAAAAAGCCCTGAGACACAATGCCATCCACGAGTTAAACTGAAAAACAAAATATTTAATCTTTGTGACACTTAAATAGAATTTGCATAATAATTTGCAACAGGGTATATGTAAGAGTGCTGTTAGTGTGAGGGTGCTGTGTGTGTAAGGGTGCTGTTACTGTGTGCTGTGTGTGTATGTGTAAGGGTGCTGTGTGTGTAAGGGTGCTGTTAGTGTGTGTGTGGGTGCTGTGTGTGTAAGGGTGCTGTTAGTGTGTGTGTTTGGGTGCTGTGTGTGTAAGCTGTTTGTGTGTATTGTGGGGGGGCCGTTTAGTTAATATCCCCCTTCCCTTCTTACCTTATGTAGGGTACCTTACCTTATGCCGCGGAAACACTCCGACCTCGCGAGAGGAACCCGGCGGAGCTGCTGGCTAGAGCTCCCCGGTGGGCCCGTGAGGTAGATCTTTGATCTCCCCACTGGCCCACGGAGGGTTAGAGCAGAGCCTACAGGGGACATCCTGAGAGCTCATCCTCTCAATCCATAGGCGTTCCGCAGGGATTAGGGTGTGCACAGGCACACCCCGTGCGCACCCCTATGCATCTAGTAATCACTATTTGGCCCTTGTCAAAATCACTCAGATCTTTTGGCTTGCCCATTTTTCCTGCTTCCAATACATGGGATTCAAGAACTGGCTGCTCACTTGATGCCTAATATATTCCACCCCTTGACAGGTGCAATTGTAATGATATAATCAAAGTTATTCATTTCACCTGTCAGTGGTTTTAATGTTGTGGCTGCAATTTCATTAACAAAACAGCAATTCAAGTCTCACAAAATGTAATAGTTTAATTTAAATAACTTCATCTAGGCAAAAAATAATGGAGGTTTAGTTACAGTATATGATCATACATTGCATAAGCCTGCCACAACATTAAATAACTTCATCTAGGCAAAAAATAATGGAGGTTTAGTTACAGTATATGATCATACATTGCATAAGCCTGCCACAACATCAATGTACCCCATTCTTGGCAAGACCCACCTAATGCCTGCTCTCATAAGAATAACCCACTTACTTGGGAAACACTTCCTCCTGGGACTCTCTGCAGGGCAAGGTTAAATGGGACCATGTAATGAGGCACCTGTGACCAGGCCTGGATTTACATAGGGGCTGATAGAGCTGCAGCTCCAGGCCCATTAATTTAAAAAAAAAAAATCTGGTATTTATGCTGCCTAGCCGGTGTCAGTTTTGCAGTAATACCGGCAATACAAAATGTCAGTTTCAATATAAACAGAAATTATTCTTCAATACCAGCACCAGGCCAGTAGGGGTCGCTGTGTGTGTGGAAAAAGGCAGGGATAGGAAGTTACAGCATCTCCCTCCCTGCCGCTCTCTACTCACTGATACATGGGGGAGCAGCTCTACACAGAGAGTACAGACAGCAGTTCCCAGCCTGAAGAGACAGCCTACATATCAGGTAAGTGAAGGATGTGGGTGAAAGGCTGCAGGGAGACATGGGGACACAGACACTAGGAGACACTGGAAGACCTGGGGACACTGAGACACTAGGGGTCACCATGTCTCAAGTATCCCCAAGTGTCCTACTGACATGAGGACACTGGGAGATATGGGGACACATACACTAAGGGACACTGGGAGACATGGGGACGCAGACACTAGGGGACACTGAGAGACATGGGGACACTGTGGGAGACATGGGAACACTGGGCGACTTTGAGACACGAAGGAACACTGAGAGACATGGGGCACTGAGACACTGTGATACACATGGGACACTGAAGACCTGGGGACACAGACACTAGGGGACACAAACACTGGAAGATTAGGGGACTGGGAGACTAGGGGATACAGGAAGACATGGAGACACTGATAATCTGGGCGACATGGGGATACTGAGACACGGGGAGATTAGGGGACTGGGAGACTAGGGGACCCTGGGTGACATGGGGACACCGAGAGACTGGAAGACTAGGAGACACAGAGACATGGAGACACTGTGATACCTGGGAGACTGAGACAGGGAGACACTGGGAGCAATCCATATATACAGTAGAATCAAACTGTAAGCCGTTTTTTGGTGACTTTACAGAATTATCTCTTATGCAGGGGGGTACCTAGAGCATTTGGCACCCGGGGCGGATCCTGTGCTTGGCACCCCTTTGCCCCCCCCCCAAAAAAAAACCAAAAAAAAAAACCTTACAATTTGTAAACTTTGCAAAACCGCTGTCAGTTCCCTCCTACAAAACTCTTGTCCTGCCCCGCCCCTTGTACAAAACCTCTGTCCTGCCCCTTCTACAAATCATGTACTGCCCCGTCTACAAAACTCCCGCAACCCCCTTCCACAAATCCCCTGCTTATCCCCCCTTATAAAAACTCCTGTCCCAATACAAAACCCCCGCCCCCTTCTACAAAATCCCTGCAGCCCCACACACACACACATTTACAGGCAGACAGTCACACACTCAGTTACAGACAGACAGTCACACACACAGTTACAGGCAGACAGTCACACACAGTTACAGGCAGACAGTCACACGCACACACACACATACACACACAGTTACAGTCATACAGTTACACACAGACACACACACAGTTACAGGCAGACAGTCACATACAGTTACAGGCAGACAGTCACACGCACACACACATACACACACAGTTACAGGCATACAGTTACACACAGACACACACACAGTTACAGGCAGACAGTTACACACAGACAGTCTCACACACACGCGCACACACACACACACACACACACAGACACACACTCTTACTTACAGACAGTGAGATGGAGGAGGACTGGATTCCCTGAAGTCCTTCTCTGAAGCCTGTGGAGAAGCAGAGATTCCATCTTGCTGCACCTCCTAACAGCAGTGGGTAAGGGCCATATTAAGCCCCGCCCCCAGTGCCAGTTTGGCTCTGCCCCAATTTTGCTTAGCTCCGCCCCACTTTTCCTCCGTGCGGCCAGTTTATCAACTGTTTGCTTGTGTGAGCTGTACTGGCCGCACAGCACCCTAACTACCATGGGGCACTGTGTAGCCACAGCTCACACAGCCCCCTCCACCCAGGGCCGGTGCAAGGATTTTTGCCGCCCTAGGCAAAAGTAAAGTTTGCCGCCCCCCCATGTGACATCACAATGCCCCATCCATATCATTTGCAATGTTAACTAACGCCAGTGCTGCAGTGCCGCCGATTACATTAAAAGGCTTGCAGGGACAGTCTATAGACACCAGAACCACTACATTAACCCCTTAAGGACCAAACTTCTGGAATAAAAGGGAATCATGACATGTCACACACGTCATGTGTCCTTAAGGGGTTAAACTGCAGTGGTTCTGGGGACTATTGCTCCACTGGTCTGGTGTAGAACAGGCTCTCTGGAGGCGGTTTGTAACTGTGGTCACAAAAATCAATGTTCTGGGAGAACGGGAAGCAGCTCCATTTTTGGGGGGCCCTTTACACAGCTCAAGGTCTGGGTCCCAGGGTCCACCTTCATGTTCCACCAATGAGTTTGTTCACAGGGGGTGGAGTGTGTAGGGGATGTCCTGATATGTGTGTAAGGAATGCATTGTGTGAATCTGTGTTTGTATGTGTAAGGCCTGCAAGGTGTGTTTCTGTGTATGTACGGGATGCATTGAGTGTGTGTAATGAATGCATTGTGTGTTTCTGTGTGTGACGGTTGCATTGCTTGTGTATGTGTGTCTGTGTGTGTAATGCAGTGTGTGTAATGCATTGTGTGTTTTTCTGTGTGCAAGGGGTGCATTGTGTGTGATGAATGTCAATCTCTCCCCCCCAATCTTTCTTTCTCCCCCCAATCTTTTTCTCCCCCCCCTCCTCATCCCAATTTCTCTCCCCCCTCCTCCTCCCAATTTCTCCCCCCTTCTCCTCCTCCCAATTTCTCCCCCCTTCTCCTCCTCCCAATTTCTCCCCCCCCTCCTCCCAATTTGGTCTCTCTAGCACTGGGGCATGTTCCCTTTCTTCTACACTCACTACATACACCTTTTCTCTGTCCCAGACTATATACCAGGAGCTTCTGCCTGCTAGTAAGAAGGTAAGGATACAAGTGTACATGTGACTGCTAGTGGACAGTCCTTAGAAAGAGTGGAGTGAGTGCATCATTAGACACATTTATGCCAAGCTCAGGGTCCTGTCTGCATAGTATGCCCTTAGGTGGCCAGCCTGTATGACTGGCAGGCAGCCTGACATGCATTCATGCCAGGCTGCCCTTCAATTTCTTTGGGCAGACATGCCCCCTTTTTGGGTATGTTCGCCCCTTTTGGCAGTTCTGGTTATGTGATTTGCGTCAGTGGCACACCCTTTTTACTCTGTCCATAGACTTCCTGCTTCACCGGACACTGCTGTTAGGGGGGTGTGGATTTACTTGAAAAGTGAAAGCGTGAGATTAGCATATGGTATGTGTTTTCTCATAGCTGCATCCTATGAGTTTCCCTCCAGCACCATCTCCATCAGATACATGACACTTGGGAGGTAAGATTGTTTTAGTGCTTTTGTAAATAGGACCATCATAATTGTCAGCACCTGGCCCACTGGGCTCTTAACCTGGCCTTGCCTGTGACAGGAAGGGTTGCAAAAGCAGGAAGTTGGCCGGGACTCCCAAATAAACAACTTTCTTTGGTGGTTGGTATTAGTTGCAATAGGTGTTAGCAGCATGCAGATATAAAAGGTAACTTGTTGGTATTTTGTCAAATATTTACTGGCTGTTAGTATAATCAAGAGCTTACCCAAGATATTTAGTAACTAAATTGAAAACAAGCCCTAAATTGTTACCCCACACTGCTCCTAACTCAAATGTTATATCAATAATCTATACAATCATGATATATTTCCTTCATAGAACATTAATTTGTCAAAGCAAAACAGAACTGCCCTTGAAATCTTACTTTTTCATCTCCAATAGTTTTTCATGAGCCATTTCCCGCTCCTGTTTTATGGCTTTATTGACAGCAGCAAACTTCTCTTGAGTGCACCATTCTAGAGTTTTCTGAATTTCACCTTTCAGCTTCTGCTCTGACTTCTCATATGCTTTGCTAAGCTCACACTTTAACTGCTCTTCCATTTCCTTTTTGGTGTGATTTATTGCTTCCTTCCAAAAAATTTAAATGGACATTTAATTAGCATTTAAAAGAGTAGATAAAAATGCTTGCCAAGGAGCAATTTTTATATTCATACATAATTGTATCACATTAACGCAAGCTGTAAAACTCTTTAAAGGAACACTCCAAGCACCAAAACCACAGCTTTATGTAGTGGTTATGGTGCCAAGAGTGGCTTGGCACCCCCTTCCTGTTGTAATTAGTAAAACCTTTTAAGAACAGATCCATGTATCCACTACTTCTGTCTGAGCTAAGGCCAGCTGCACATTGTGGTGTTTAGCTCAGGAGAACTCAAGGATGTTCCTGCTTAGACATTTCTGTTTTTCATAGTAGTGGATGCAGGTAGAGGCTTCCAGCAGACAAAAGCAGTTTGACTACTTACAATAGGTGGGCTCTCATGTCATATTATATCTACAGATCACGATAGTGGTTATCGTGCACAGAGTGCTCCTTTAACCAGGGAAATTGTATCAGTTTGAGTTCTATTTGACAATATTGGAAATATTGTACCAGGATTTACTCTGATACAAAATGTCTTCTAAAAATAAAGATCAGCAACCTACCTGAATTCTGTGGCGCTATATCTATATTTATGTCCTCAACTTTATTATATGTTAAACAGTTTTAGTTAGATTTGTTGCATTAACACAATATTAACCCACGTGACCTGGCTCCGTCGGCTTACAATGAAGCCCTAGTTAGGCACCCCCACATAGTGCAAGCAAAAGCACTTCTCTTAATTGTCAGCCAGCTAACTCACGCTCGGCCCATGACAAAGGCCGTCCACGTAGGCACTTGTCCTTACCAGCACTACCTCAAAGCTTTTGAAGGCCTCACAGCTTATATAACACCACATAGGTGCCTTACTTGAGCCTAAATTTAAAGGGACACTCCAGGCACCACGACCACTTCTGCCCATTGGAGTGGTCTGGGTGCCAACTCCCACTACTCTTAACCCTGCAAGTGTAATTATTGCAGTTTTTTTATAAACTGCAATAATTACTTTGCAGGGTTAACTCCACCTCTAATGGCTGTCTACTAGACAGCCACTAGAGGGCACTTCCTGCATCATAGCACAGAAAACCTGTGCTAGAGCGTCGCTGGACATCCTCACGCTGTGTGAGGACATCCAGCTTCGATTAATTCCCCATACGAAAGCACTGAAAACCATGCTTTCCTATGGGGAGCTCTAATGCGCATGTGCGGCATTGCCACACTTGTGCATTAGGACTCCCCGGCCGGTGGGCGGGATCAGTCTAGCCCACCGGCTCACGTAATACAGAGGAGGAGCGGCGGCGGAGGAAGAAGCAGCGACGTGGCACATCGTCGCTGCCTCTGGTAAGTTACTGAAGAGGTTTTCATCCCTTCAGCAACCGGGGATTGGGGTGTGGGAGGGAGAGGGGACCTGCAGTGCCAGGAAAACAGATTGTTTTCCTGGCACTGGAGTTTCCCTTTAATGGTGACTTGCTAATCAGCCACAAGCTCCATAAAACCCGACGCCCACGACTTCCCAGATACAAGATACTCAGACATAGCTTAGGGACCCAGGCTCTCCTACAGTAACAAAAATATAAAATTGAGTCTGTTCTGCTATGTGATATATGTTCAGCTACTGTAGCATTCTAGCTCATATGCACCTCACATACTATGCTGTTATTTCTGCAATGACTCTCAAAAATAAAGAAAAAATTAAGAAAGAAAGAAAAATAAATAAATAAAAATCAGGTCTACCCACTGATATATTTTTCAGCAATGGTTGGACTAGAACATACAACACAATCACCATGGTCATCAATGTGCACTTGCAGTAATAAGGCATGAGATAAAATGGATTGTATATTAAAGGGACACAATAGGCACCCAGACCACTTCATCTTACTAAGGTGGTCTTGGTGCAGTGTCCTTGTTCTCTGAACCCTGCAATGTAAAACACTGCAATTTTGAGAAACTTTAGTGTTTACATTAAAAGTTAAGACTGCCTTAAAGGAATTCTATAGTGCCAGGAAAACAAATCCATTTTCCTGGCACTATAAGCTCCTGTAGTGCCCCCCCTCCCATGGCGCTGGTCAGGCTCTGACCACTACTCCTCCTTTGCCGATGTCAGCCAGCAAGAGAGTGTCAGCTGATGATCTCAGCTGGTCACTGCCAATCCACTGAATAGAATATTGTGAGGACAGAGAGGAAGGAAACTTAGAGGCAAATGTGTTAGGGGCCGGAACTCAAATTTTGGAGTTAAACTAGTTCAATTTAAATTTTAGTGGCTACATTTTTGTTTTTTTAAACCATGATTAATTAACTGGTTTCCCGTATTCTTCCCAATCAAAAAATCTAAAAATGTGTAAATCTTTACACGACGTTCTGAAACAGATTATAAAGTAGATTTTCTCCTTCATACTTCAAAGGACTATAATTTTATCTACTTCATGGTGCAATGCGCCACTACACACAATGATTTTCTACAAAGGACAGATACTGGTCTACAGGGAAAAGGTGGCCCTACCCGTCTATGGATTTATTTATTTTTAACCTTAAACCATTGTTAGTTTTCCCATTATATTTATCACCCCTTTATGTAGGCACAATGATTATTTTTAAGTTAAAACAGAATATGATTTCTTGTAACCTGGACTGCAGTCTTCCGTTCCTCTTCTGCTTGTACAGCCAACAACCTCTGCATGAGTTCTGCTCTTTCATTGGCTTTCATTACTGCTTCTTCAGTCTGAATCTTTCCCTAAGGAAAAAACAGAATAATATCTTTTTTTTTACTTTTTCATTTTTTTTCATTTCAAAGTTTTTTATTTTTGGTATATAAAACAACAATAAACATTTGTTACATTTGTTGACAAAAGTGACAAGTTTGAGATTAAAATAATAGTGCATAGAAATACAGTAAAGTAAGGTACATGTTATCTGTATTGGTACTTGACATTGGTTTAGTTAGGCGGTGATAGTAGAGCGTTGGATAGTTGGTCACGACTCTAACCTGAGCCTTGTCGTTGACTCAAGAGATTTTAACAGCGTATTGTTAACCATTCGATAAGAGTAGATGTGGGAGCATTAAAGGAATCTAGGTGTGCGTGAGCAGTATTTAGAGAGTTCCCTCTTTAGCCTGGTGGGTATGTCTGGACCCTAGTTTGCGTGTATCGGTTTGGGGGGGGGTCATATTTGTAGTTGCTACGTTTGGGGACATGTGAGTGGGCTCTCGATTATGTAGGATATTTAAGTTTTGAGGGATGGTCAGGGGTGCGTGTTCTGTTTCCTTTGTCAGGAATTCAGTCCAAGGGGACCATATTTTGGAGAATGTTTGATAGTTTTTGGTTTTAGCGTGTGTTAATTCCTCCATGTGTTTAATTTCTTCGACTCTCGCGAACCATTCCTTGATAGCTGGGGTGTAGGTTTGTTTCCAGTATTTGGGGATAAGTTGTGCAGCAGCCATAACTAGAAAGTTGAGGAGGGTAGATTGCTCCCTTCGGTGGTGTTTCAGGGGGAGTAGGAATATGTATTGTTTAGGGTCCATGGTGAATCTG